AAGCATAGCCATCAGGGCTAGCAGCTACTGACAGCCTTATCTTCCTCCATGAATTTGTCCAATGCTCTTTTAAAGCCATCTTGGTTGGCGGGAGTGAGTTCCATAGTTTATAACTATGAACTGAGTGATGATGTACACAGGAGAAACTTGACCCGCCCCCACTTAATTCACCCACTCGGGCAGGTGGAATGACTCACAGCTCTTAATTAAGCAAAAAAGAAGAAACAAATATATAATTCAAACAAACATATCACTTTTGGACAATGTTGGCGCTCCCCAGAGATGCAAAGAAATATGTGTCTGCACACCTAAGGGAACAATATACGCTCTACTAAAGTAATCAGACACATGGAGAAGCAAGCTAGGGTGTCACTTCCAAAAATGGGCTCAGACAATACGCAAAGTAGGTCATCAAGCCGGTGGAGAAAAACAGCAGCCGTCTCTGAATGAAGCCAGCAAGAGATCTGGTCTCAGGGCCAGGAAGAATTTGGGAATGTGGAGGGTGAGAGAGCCAAGCAAATAAAATCTGTACTGAGCTAGACACCATAAAGAAGGCTGATCACCGAAGAATTGATGCTTTTGAATTATGGTGCTGTAGGAGACTCTTGAGAGTCCCATGGACTGCAAGAAGATCAAACCTATCCATTCTTAAGGAAATCAGCCCTGAGTGCTCACTGGAAGGACAGATCCTGAAGCTGAGGCTCCAATACTTTGGCCATCTCATGAGAAGAGAAGACTCCCTGGAGAAGACCCTGCTGTTGGGAAAGATGGAGGGCACAAGGAAAAGGGGACGACAGAGGACGAGATGGTTGGATACTGTTCTCGAAGCTACCAGCATGAGCTTGATCAAACTGCAGGAGGCAGTGGAAGACAGGAGTGCCTGGTGTGCTCTGGTCCATGGGGTCACGAAGAGTGAGACACGACTAAACGACAACAAAATTATGTTAGAACCATGAGGACTAGAACCTTCCAGCACTATAGGGCAATGGCAGAGCATCTCCTTTGCATGCAGACGGTCCCAGGAGAGATGAGAATGTCCCCTGCCTGAAACCCTGAACAGTTGCTGCCCGTCAGTGTAGAGAATACTGAGCTAGATGAACCAACAGTCTGACTCTGTTCAAGGCAGCTTCCTAAAAAAAAAAAAAAAAAGGAACTACTTTTTTCCCAACTGTCTAAAAACTTCCTAAATAAACATGAGAGAGAGAGAGAGAGAGAGAGAGAGAGAGAGAGAGAGAGAGAGAGAGAGAAAATGATTCTGTTGCATCACCCTCTGGAAGCTGAGCGGCTTCTGGGTTATTGCTAAACTACCCCCTCCAAGCTTCCCTCCTCCTGCTTGCCTCCCCCTCTTCCCCCAAACTATCACAGCAGTCCCTTGATTAAACAATGTCCTATTCTGCACTTGCAAATTATGTAAGGATGAGCCCCACATCACATGCTTACGGCAAAGCACCCAAAGGGAGGCAGGCAAATACAGCTCTCTCTGTGTGTAGTTCCTATTTTATTGGCCCATCATTCAGAAGTGGCTACTGGCATGGCTAGTCGCACAAGCCTAGAGAACCCCAGTGATTGTGATATATATATATATATATATATATATATATATATATATATATATATATAATTTCATTTTATACTGTACATAGGACACAGAGAAGAGTTATAACAGCAGATAAATCACAGAATCATAGAACTGCAGAGTTGGAAGGGATGCCCAGTGGCGTAGCGTGGGGGGTGCAGGGGGGCCCGGCCACACCGGGCGCAACATCTGGGGTTAGGGCAAATCCACAGGTTAGGGGGCGCATATCCACGGGTTAGGGGGCGCAAATTACTTGCCTTGCCCCGGGTGCTGACAACCCACGCTACGCCACTGGGGATGCCCAAGGGTTATCTAGTACAACAAAGGAATCACAGCTAAAGAATCCATGGCAAGTGACCACCCGGTCCTCTGCTTACAAACCTCAAATGAAGTAGAGTGCTTATTTTTTAATGCTAATTAAAAGATGGAAAAACCTATAATATAGGCTTGCAGAGTGAGTACAGTCCGTTGCATGTGGGGTTAATAACCAAGTCTAGGTAAAGAACACCAGCGTTATCAAATTATCAAGTTAAGTTCCAGATTTTTATCTTCCTTCTTCTCTTTTATTTTCCTTGGTTTCCTCTGCTTTGGGCCATTATTGGGATTATACACACATGAAGGTGATGACTGGCTGGGAGAAGAAAGGGGAGCTCCCAGGTGAGATATGGGAAGGTCCACCCCTTTCTGTGGCTGACAAGGGTTCAGCACTACCTTTGAGAGAGGACTCTGCATTTTCCTTTCTTTTTTTCAGTTTTTGTTTTCATTTAGTTTGTTTTTTATTGTATTATGCAAAAAACCTTAACAAAATATTATGAAAGTCTAGTTCCAGATTTGCCTGGCTTCTGACGAGGGCTGTCTTGAAAATAATGGCTCTGTTGTCTATGTTGTAAAGGAATGTCAAATCCTGTAGAAACCACCTGGAGGTTCTAGTCCTTGTCAAAATCTCAAAATATGCAGAGTTTTCTCCATTACAGCTACATTCCAGATTGAGTAGCACCAAGCACACAGTGTAAGGTTTTGGGCTGTTTTCCATTCAGTTGCTATTACTATTTGAGCTGCCAAGATGATACATAAGACCAATTCATTGGTATCTTAGAAAATATTCACTGAAAGTTTGGACAACGAGCAATTGTTTCTTTGGCATTATTTACAATTTCTGACAAAATTAAATGCCAAAACACAGGCCACTGTTTTGATAGCTGTGATGCTCCTTGGAATGACAATCTGCTGTGGTACAGCTTTGTATTTGGGGGTGGGAGAGATTCTGGCAAGTTTAAAGCTGGCAGCGAACAGCACAGGCTTACATTTAGGGTGTGGGGAGCAAAAGTGCCCCCCCCCCGCTTTGCATTTCAAAGAAATGAGGTGAGATAGGAGGAGACTGGTTTGTATCTAGTTGCTGGATCCCCAGCAAGCCAAGAATTTAACAAAGGGAAAGACATGTCCATATTGGGATGTACAGGCAGCTCTCGCTATCCAAACACTTGTTATATGAAAATTCACATATCCAAACACAAGGAATTAGTACCCAAACCTCCCTATAGATCGCAGATTCAGATATCCAAACAGGCAGACCTGCATGTAGTACTGTAAACTAATAAGCAGCCTTAAACTAGCCTTACTTTTTCATGTTTTGCTGGTTTGTGGCAGCTGTTTCACCAGATACCACTGGGGGTGGGGAGGTCAGACAGAGGAGAGAGCATTTCCCCCCTCCCTGTTTGCCTTTTGCAGAGGGTTATCCATATTTCTTTTTGGCCATTTGGGGGTCAAAATTCCATGGTCAGTGGGAAGTAATGTGGGCCTTAGTGAAGGTCATTGAACCACAATACAGTGGTACCTTGGGTTACAGACACTTCAGGTTACAGACGCTTCAGGTTACAGACTCCGCTAACCCAGAAATAGTACCTCGGGTTAAGAACTTTGCTTCAGGATGAGAACAGAAATTGCGCAGCGGTGGTACGGCGGCCCCATTAGCTAAAGTGGTGCTTCAGGTTAAGAACAGTTTCAGGTTAAGAATGGACCTCCAGAATGAATTAAGTTCTTAACCCGAGGTACCACTGTACTGAAATGAAACCCCCATGTCCAGAGGCAGTCTACCTCAGCAAGAAGGGCAGCCCTACCTGGAGATGCTACCAGGGATTGAGCCTGGGACTTCCTTCTTGCAAAGCAGACCCTTTACTCTTGAGGTACAGCCTAAAATTAATAACCTAGTCCTCATGGTTCTGAATAATTTGAACAAAAACATAGGCATATGCACCCCAACACCCGCTTTGACCATGGAGGTTGTCCATCGACAGCCCTCTCCTCCATGAGGTTGCCCAACCCCTTTTAAAGCCATCCAAGTTGTGCCCATTACTGCCTCCTGTGGCAGTAATGCTTGCTCCTGTGGCAGCAGGCTTCACAGTTTAATTACTTGCTGCATGAATAAGTCCCAAATGCTGCAAGCTTTCCTAATAGGGGGACAAATGCAGCTACATGCCTTCTGGAATTTGCTCCTCCAGAAAAGTTATGGAGATTAGCCCTTGTTGCAGTTTATTTCTAGCTGAGAAGAGCACCCTGGCTATTTTTAGCAAGCCATGTCTGAAATATCGAAATTCCCAGAGGAGCGCTATGGATGCAATCACCAGAAACGGACCTGGCTTTCTCAAAATCAGCAGTAACCAACATATACTGGAAGTTATGGTAGAGCCAGTGTGGTGTAGTGGTTAAGAGCGGTAGTCTCGTAATCTGGGGAACCGGGTTCGCGTCTCCGCTCCTCCACATGCAACTGCTGGGTGACCTTGGGCCAGTCACACTTCTTTGAAGTCTCTCAGCCCCACTCACCTCACAGAGTGTTTGTTGTGGGGGAGGAAGGGAAAGGAGATTGTTAGCCGCTTTGAGACTCCTGAAGGGGAGTGAATCCAAACTCTTCTTCTTCTTCTTCTTGCAAGTGCTCAGTCCGTTTGGGAGCTCAGTTAGGTATGAAGCTTGTGTGTGACTTTCTTTTAAAACAGCATTGGGGCAACTTCTGTCTCTGTGAGGACAGTGAGATGATAGCTAAGACCTCTGTTCTGACAGCCGGTACGGTGTAGTGGTTGGGAGAGACCAGGGTTCAGCTTACTGGGTGACCCTGGGACAGTCACTGCCTCCCAGCCTGACCTACCTTATAGGGTTGTTGTGGGAATCAATTAAGAAGGGGGAGAGCATTTACGTCACCTTGAGCTCAATCAATCAATAAAATATACTAACAGTTGTCATGATTCCAATTTAAAGCAGTATCATACAACTTTCAACAGTCATGGCTTCCCCCAAAGAATCCTGGGCGCAGATAGTTGATAGGAGGCACCCCTATTTCCCTCACAGAACTACGACTCCCAAGTGGTTTATAACATGTAATCCCTCTTCGCAGAAAGTTCCCAAATCTCCTGCCTCCATTTTTTTTGTTTACCTTTTCGACGTCTGCTTTCGTTACATTGATATCGGCGTCCATCTTTTCGAAATACTGCTGCGCCCTGTCCGCTTCTTTGCAGTCCCTTTCAAATCTTCTTTTACTCTGTTAAGGGAAAGGCAGTGTTGCATAGCGGTTAGAGTGGCCAGACTAGAACCTGGGAGATCAGGGTTCGAATCCCGTCTACTAGGCCATGAAGTTTGGGCCAGCTGGGTGTGACCTCTCAGTCTAACATACCTCACAGGGTCATTGTGGGGATTAAATGGGGAGGAGGAAAACTATCTAAGCCACCTTGAGCTGCTTGGAGGAAAGGTGGGATACAAATGTAAACAACAACAACAACAACAACAATAATAATGGGAGGGAATAAGGTTTGAGCAAGGAATTCCCTGTCTCTTGACATCAGGCATTGCTGTACCCTTTTCAAAAAAATGTTTTGTTTAAGCAAGCTTATGTAGAAAGCTATGTGTTTTAATCTCTTTTCACTAATTATCTTTGGAATGCTTGAAATGGGCTTTCAGTTATGATTTTGATGTTTTGCTCCTCACAAAACTGCAATCAAGCAGTATATAAATGTAGTGAAATAAAGAATAAATAAAATAAGATATGGCTCAGGAGCACAACACCTAACCCACTTGACTTGCCTCTTCTGGAAAGAACGTTCCTGGACCTCGTGGAGATTGTCTGAGACCCTTCCTTGTGTGAAACCCCTGCGTAAGACCCACTAGCGTCAGGAGGGGGGCTTTTTTTAACTCACCGATTCAAGCTGCTTCCAGCAAGTTTCGATGTGCTGCTGAGCTTTTCTGCCGTCATGAAAGTGCTGTTGTAAAACCATAGCAAAGAGTTATTAAGGAACTGTACTGAGACAAAAACGTGTGTACACCTGTTTGCCCTATATTTATTTATTACATTTAGACATGTGATATGCAACACTTACACAAAATGAGATTTAAAATAAAAATGTAAACACTCAGATAAACGTTTCTCAATATGATATCAAGTTGTGTTAAATGATGTTTAATAATGTATATGCTTAGATTTTTGATCATTAATAAAAGGGATTTTGAATCAATAACAATGTTAAGTTATAGGGGTTTATAGGAATTTATAGGGAGTAAGGAAGAAAATTAAAACATGCTTCATGCAAGTCAAACTACAGTGTAAACTATAGGTACTGTTCTGCTGTATGCCTCATTGTTCGTATAACCAATAAAATAATACCAAACTGCATAAAAACAGTCATGTTTCTTTTGGCCTCTTGCTAATTTTAACTTTTGTGTCAGTTTTTCCAATAATGCTGTTAACCAAATTGCATTATATTGGTCCATGGTTAATAATTGCAATGATTTCCATGTCCTGGCAATGGTTGTTCTTGTAGCGGTTAATAAATGTGTTATGAGCTTTTTATTTCTAATTTGCAGCATATCATGACTATACAAATGAAGTAGAGTTAGTCCTGAAGTAATCAGAAATGCTTTTAATTAAAGACATTTCTGTAAATACATTTTACCAAAATATTTATATTTTTGGACACTATCACCACATATGCTGATATGTCCTTATAATGGGACATCCTCTCGAACACATGGGATAACTGTTCAGTTTTATATAGAATAGGCATCTTGATGTAAAGTACAGTGATACCTTGGTACTTGAATGGCTTGGCTCCCAAACAAATCGGCTTGCGAACGTTTTTCAGAAACCAAATTTCTGACACGGCTTCCGCATCTCCCAATGGAGTGCAGGAAGCTCCTGCAGCCAATCAGAAGCTACGGCTTCGTTTTCGAATGGTTTTGGGAGTCGAATGGACTACTGGAACGGATTAAGTTTGAAAACCAGTTGTGCAAAATTTTAAGTGCTCTTTGTTTTGTTGTTGACCATATAGATTTATATAATGCTTTTACCCACAGCCTCTTCTTCAATTTTTAAATTCTTGTTCAATTCCCACAGCTTCCCAAATTTTGCTGAGAGCAAAATGGAACCTCTATAATAGATTTATACAAATATGACATTAATCCTTTTGTCATTATATTTTCTTGAACAAATATATTTTCATATATTTTTAATTGTCTCATGGCTTTATTTTTAACCTGAGAATTTGTTTAAAAGGACCTTAACTGGTAACCTAATGGCCATGGTATTTCATTCATTCAATACTTTCATTATGGAAAATGAAATATTATGAAGTTCCATCTTCTGAAGTTCCATTGTATGTAACAGAACTTGCACCCCATTCTGTTGAAACTGGAGCCCCTTATGTTTTCAATGTCCCTAAATGCTTAGCTTTAGAGCAAACACAACTCCTCAAGTGTCCTTTCTACCCACCTTTTCCAGAGCGACCCTAGGAGCCCATCCTCAGTGGCTGACTCACCTCCTTTCAATTCTGATGGGCTCCAATGACATATTAATTGGAAAGCTCTAGGAGGCAGGGACCTAGCTTCAGAAACAGCAATGGGTCTACGACCCTAGACCACTACACCTCTGCCTCCAGATGTTAGCCTGGAATGATGAGAGTTGCACCACATTGGCCACCCCAGCTCTAACTGGAAAGGGGAACATTTTTTGGGTTGTCTAACTTCTGCTCTGATATTTCTTGGTCTCAGTTAAGTCATGCCCATAATTTTTGGTAGATTTACTCAGAGTATCTTAGCCAGGCTACCATACTCATACCTACAACGAACACTCAATTAAAGGCCAGCTGAAGCCGTAAAAGGCAATGCAGCTGGATTACGGGCTGAGCTGAAAGAGTCATCGTTTCCCATTAACTCTGATGACACCCGTCCTGTGCCAATCTTTTCTACCACATGGAGAATAATTATCTCCTTTTTTAAAAAAGGAAAATCCAACATCCACTGCAATACAGCATTATAAAAAAGACATTCTGAATATGAATTCCTCTTCTATGGAGCTGCTTCACTGTCACATCAACCTGTGGGATATTTTAATACCTGCTAAGCAGATAAAAGCAAGGCAGCTTACACCACCTGCAACTCCTGGGGGGATTGCAATACACGCTCTCCTGCTCTCCTCCAGGGCTAATGTTTCTTTCAAAGCACACTAAGGCTCAGGGGCCCGTTCCAGATAGACCCAGAATGGGAAAGAGAAATATACGTATTTCTTTACCTGGACATTTCCTGGTTGACAATCATAGAATTGCAAGAGACCTCAATGATAATCTAGTCCAACCCCCTGCAATGCAGGAGTCACATTATTTATAAATGTGGAATTAATGGGTTGCATCCGGTGCTAGCCCTATTCAGATCTACAGAATTTAATGGGTGTGACTAGCTTAGCCCTGTTAGAGTAGATCCATTGGAACTAATAGGCTTAAGCTAGTCATGCCCATTGAATTCAATGGGTCTACTCTGAGTAGGTCTAGTATTGGATACAACTCTTCCCCCCTTTTTTAGTTGAGTTTAATTTGTAATATTTTATTTCCTGATGTTTAGGAGGATATTCCCTTTAGCTGACTACTATGTTTTATGAAGTGAGATTTCCCTTGTGTTGGTTCCCTTGTGGGGTAGATGTGATGCTTGCTTTCATGGTAAAAAGGATGTTCTATTGGTGGCCATCATTGCTTCTTGCAGGAGCAAATTCCACAGTTTAACTATGCACGGTGTAAAGAATGACTTCCATTTATCTGTCCTGTTTTGTAACAGTAAAAGGTAAAGGGACCCCTGACCATTGGCTCCAGTTGCGGACGACTCTGGGGTTGCGGTGCTCATCTCGCTTTATTGGCCGAGGGAGCCGGCGTTCAGCTTCTGGGTCATGTGGCCAGCATGACTAAGCCGCTTCTGGCAAACCAGAGGAGCGCACGGAAACGCCGTTTACCTTCCCGCTGGAGCGGTACCTATTTATCTACTTGACTTTGGCGTGCTTTTGAACTGCTAGGTTGGCAGGAGCAGGGACCAAGCAATGGGAGCGCACCCCGTCGCGGGGATTCGAACCGCCGGCCTTCTGATCGGCAAGCCCTAGGCTCTGTGGTTTAACCCACCCGCGTCCTTTTGTAACAGTAGGCCATGACTAGAGAAAACTGGGTCCCTTTAATTGGAGCATCATATTGTGACATGGGTACTGCTAGGAACCAGACTGCACCTGGTGCTACTACTATAGAAAGGTCTCAGCTCCAGCTTGTTCTTGGCTGGAGCAATGCTGGAAGGACCCCAAGGGCCACTCAGTCCAACCCCCTGCTATGCACAACGAATCCCTGGTAGATAGTCACCCAACCGCTGTGGGAAAAATCTCCAACAGAGTCCACCAGCTTCAGGGGCCATCTGTTCCACTGTGGAACAGCACTTAGTTCTTCCTGATGTTTAGCTGGAACCTCCTTTCTTGTCATTTGAATCCATTGGTTCAGGTCCTACATATCACTTGGCTGCAAGTCTTGGAAGACCAGCTTCCTGCCTTGTAGACCTTTTCCCACCTGGCCTGGTGGGGTGGGGCCCCGAATGACTCCAGCTCCAAAAGCTGAGGCTGCTGAACAGACTCAAGGGGCTTTAGTTGGGAGGGTTGTTGCTATTATTGCTATTGACTTTTTGTATCTTTATTTTAGATCTTATTATGATTTATGTGGAAATCGTTTGATTTGGTTGTGTATTTGTATGTTTTATTTATGACAACTTTTAAGAGTTTTTTCATGTTGTAAGCCACCTCGAACATGCCTCAACTATGGAAAGGCAGCATGAAAATAAAATGTTGCATGGATGTATGTATGTAAGATGGCTATCACATCTCTCAGTTTCCTCTTTTCCAAGCTAAACATACCCAGCTCCTGCAACCATTCCTCATAAGGCTTGATTTCTATACCCTTGATCATCTTGGCTGCCCGCCTCTGCACACCTTCCAGCTTGTCAATATCCTTCTTAAAGAAGCATATTCAGAGCTCGGTATTCCCCAAAGCACAGCCTCTGATCCAGCCCAACCTCATTCCACCTCGCCTTGTATCCAGCTTTTAAACCTGACCTCCCAAAAATGTTACTGGGAGCAATGAGGGCAGAATGGTGGATGAACCATCCCAGAGGCCTTTGCTTCTGTTTTGTTTTACTGTACTTAATTTCCTGGATATCAAACCTTCCAGGCAACTGCGGGGGGTGAGTGAGGGAGCCAGCAACTTCACATTTTCCACAGCTAAAATAACTGCCTGGCCAAAACAAAAGATATTTTAATTCAGTGTGATCTGTAATTCTCATTTTTCCAGGTTGTGAAATACGTAAGAGACAAGAGATTAATCCCAGTCTGGGCACAGAGAAAGTCTTCTCTGGGGCCGCACAGAAAAGCTTTTTAAAAACAATATCATAATAATGGTGCAACAAGGTACTAAAACCAAAGATTAGTGGGGGATGAAACCCAGGGATGGGAATATTAAGTTTTAAACAGTTTAAACTACGCTGCTATTATTTCAAGCACTTGGAAAGGAATAAAGGATACAACCCCCCCCCCCCAGGATGGTGCACAGTCCATCCAACTCGATCCAGGTTCCCAAATTGCCCTGACTGAGGGAACACCCAAATCTACCTGGATCCAGTCCTGAAATCATTCACTGGCAAGGCTAATGCTTAATCAGGGTTTTTAAACTCCTAATTAATGTGATTGGGAAGGAGATGCTGTGCCTCCACCTCCCTGGACACCTGCAGGATTGAACCCTCTGCTCACCAGCTGGTGATCCAATCCTGCTGAGTGCTGCCTCTCCAGGGTGCTCCCTGTGGTGAGCTGGTGAGTGGAGAGGTCAGTCCTTATCAGTTTTGAGTGCACCCACATTTCTCTGCTGGAAACAGGTGTGCTCAGCACAAGCTTCTACTTCCTACCCAAGATAGCATAAGA